GCGGTCCCCCTTCTTAAAAAGGGGGACCACCAGGGCATCCTTCCAATCCTGCGGAACCCGTCCAGTGGTCCAGACTGTTGTTATGATATCACATAGGGCAGTCTGTGCACAAACGCCACCCTCCCTCAGCATTTCGCTTGGGAGATCATCTCTGCCCGCTGCCTTTCCTGGTCTCAGACTCCGGATCGCCTTCAGTACTTCCTCAACAGATGGCACCTCAGCCAGCCACTCACAGGGGGTGACTTCTTCCAATATTTGAGGCACCGCAGCCTCAGCAGGGTCATCCTCACTTTGTGCCACGATGTTTTCCTGGCTGAGGGATTTTCCCTCCCTCAGGACCTCACAGAAATGCTCAGCAAATCTGCAAACCTGTTCCTGGGGGTCGGAGATTGGATCACCGTTTTTTCCCTTAATGATGGTAATAGGTGTGGCGCTGCAGGTTACTTTTTTGATGGAGTTGAATAGAGATTTGTGATCACGGGCCACTGAGGCAGACTCCATCTCCTCAACAACCCGCGACCACCACCCATCCTTGCAGCGCCTCACGGCTCTCCGAACCTCCGAGCGAAGGCTGCGGTAAGCCTCCTCATTCTCTGACGTGGGATTCTGTAGCCGATGACAGTGGGCCTGTCGCTTTTTCTCAACCATCCTGAACACCTCCTCTGTCAGCCAGGGTCTCTGGGGAGGTCTGGATCGCGTACCCAAAGCAGCCATTGCAGCTGCATGAGTCACAGTCCAAAACCTCGCCCATTTACCCTCGACATCAGGAGGAGTCGGGGACGATGCCAATCCCATCCGCAAGCGATGATGAAATTCTCGCTTGCAACTTTCATCAGATAACTGAGACCAGGCCACTTTAGGTTGGAATGGGGTCCTGGGTGTACACCCACCACCGGAGTGGAAGAATGGCAGGCGCATCTTACAGATGACTAGTCGATGGTCAGAGGGCAGATCAGCTTTCCGGTAGGTCCTGGTGTCAAGGACATGGGCTCGCATCCGCTGGTCCGTCAAAATGTAGTCCAGCAGATGTTCTTGCTTAGACCCGGCATGCATCCATGATGTTGTGTGGATGCGCTGATGCCGGAACAGCGTGTTGGTAATTACAAGCCCATGGGCTGCACAAAAATCTAGCAGCCTCCTACTGTTGTTATTGAGCTGATCTGGCCCATGGCCTCCAATCACTCCAGACCAGGTGCCAGCATCATGACCAACTCGGGCATTGAAGTCACCCAACATGATGACTCTATCCCGAGGGGCCACTTTAGCCAGCACCTGTGACAGGTCATAGAAGGCATCTGACTCATCGGCTTTGCCTGCATCCCTCCATGGATGTTCATCTTCGGTGGAGGCATAAGTAACCACGACCACCATTCCTCGCCTCCGGTTGATGGGAAGGCGAGCCCAAAGTAGCCTGGGGCTTACAGCTTCCCACACCTCACCGCCACGCTCCCACGCCCCCTTCATTCTTTTGTTCAAAAGAAGACCCACACCCTGTTGTTTGGCAGTCTGCTGCCCCGAGTAGAGGACTGTCCACCCCTCATGGTGGCAGGAGCCAGAACCGGTCCACCGGACCTCCTGAAAGCCACATAGATCCAGGCGGTACCGGTCCAGCTCCCGACAGAGGAGTGGCAGCCTCTCCTCCGCAGTGAGCGTTCGAACATTCCACGTGGCCACCCGTAGTGGTTTTTCGTTGTTTCTGGAGGAGCCCCGAGGGTAGATATTCAATCTCCTGGCTCCGCCAATTGGGGTTTGGACAGGAGACGTCATAGACGCCTGGCCCCCCGGGGCCTCCGGCACAAGCTTATTAGTTACATACTTAATTCGCGGTTCAGTGGTAATTTTTTGAAGGTAGAGGGGATATCAGCCCCTCGCACCCGTCCAGAGCCCCCGTTTAGCCCCTGTGGTGGACACAGATGCCATGAGGGGAGGAGCCAATCTAAATTGGACTTCCCCCCACAGCACTGTCCACGACAGAGTTGCCCGTCCAGCACCGCGAGGCGTTAGGGGGTTGTTTTGCCGGCGCAGGCAATGAATTCCAAAGTGGAGCAGTGGAAGGGAAGCCACAGAATGAGAATAGTTGAGTGTGGTACACGTACACACACACGTACACACACGTACACACTGCCTACCCTCCCTTCACGCACTCGAGTGAAGGCTCAGCGCCTCGACCCCGAGTGCTCTCTCAGCTTTTAAAAGACACTATAACAGTTTATTTTATAATAATAATTATTATCAAAGGTTCGTTTAAGAGACGACCGGCGCAGGCAATGAATTCCAAAGTGGAGCAGTGGAAGGGAAGCCGCAGAATGAGAATAGTGGAGTGTGGTGGTGAATGGCTGGTTGAGAGTGGTCGAGTGTGTGTGAGTGTGTGGTCGAGTGTGTGTGAGTGTGTGGTCGAGTGTGTGTGAGTGTGTGGGCGAGTGTGTGTGAGTGTGTGGGCGAGTGTGTGTGAGTGTCTGGTCGAGTGTGTGGGCGAGTGTAAGAGTGTGTGTGAGTGTGTGGTCGAGTGTGTGGGCGAGTGTGTGGTCGAGTGGGCGAGTGTGTGGGCGAGTGTGTGGTCGAGTGTGTGAGTGTGTGGTCGAGTGTGTGGTCGAGTGTGTGTGAGTGTGTGGTCGAGTGTGTGGTCGAGTGTGTGGGCGAGTGTGAGAGTGTGTGGTCGAGTGTGTGGGCGAGTGTGTGAGTGTGGTCGACTGTGTGTGTGTGAGTGTGTGGGCGAGTGTGTGAGAGTGTGTGTGAGTGTGTGAGAGTGTGTGTGAGTGTGTGTGTGGTCGAGTGTGAGTGTGTGTGAGTGTGTGTGTGTGTGGTCGAGTGTAAGAGTGTGTGAGAGTGTGGTCGAGTGTGTGTGAGTGTGTGTGTGAGTGTGTGGTCGAGTGTGTGTGAGTGTGTGAGTGTGTGGTCGAGTGTGAGAGTGTGGTCGAGTGTGTGTGAGTGTGTGTGTGGTCGAGTGTGTGTGAGTGTGTGTGTGTGGGCGAGTGTGTGAGTGTGTGTGAGTGTGCGGGTTTGTCGCTGTGAACTGCAGTGTGGTGGTGGTGGTTGAACGCAGAGTGTGTGGGTGAGTGTGTGAGTGGGTGTGTGAGTGTATGGATGAGTGTGTGGGTGAGAGTGTGGTTGACTGTGTGGGTATGTGTTTGAGTGGTTAAGTGTCTGGGTGAGTGATTGAGTGAGTGGTTGAGTGTGAGTGTAGGTGAGTGTGGGTGAGTGTGTGTGAGTGTAGGTGAGTGTGGGTGAGTGTGTGTGAGTGTGGGTGAGTGTGTGCGAGTGTGGGTGAGCGTGTGTGAGTGTAGGTGAGTGGTTGAGTGTGTTGGAGTATAGGTGAGTGGTTGAGTGTGTGTGAGTATAGGTGAGTGTGGGTGAGTGTGTGTGAGTGTAGGTGAGTGTGGGTGAGTGTGTGTGAGTGTAGGTGAGTGGTTGAGTGTGTGTGAGTGTGTGTGAGTGTAGGTGAGTGTGTGTGAGTGTAGGTTAGTGTGTGTGAGTGTAGATGAGTATGTGTGAGTGTAGGTGAGTGTGTGTGAGTGTAGGTGAGTGTGTGTGAGTGGAGGTGAGTGTGGGTGAGTGTGTGTGAGTGTAGGTGAGTGTGTGAGAGTGTGTGTGAGTGTAGGTGAGTGTGTGTGAGTGTGGGTGAGTGTGTGTGAGTGTAGGTGAGTGTGTGTGAGTGTAGGTGAGTGTGTGTGAGTGTAGGTGAGTGTGTGTGAGTGGAGGTGAGTGTGGGTGAGTGTGTGTGAGTGTGGGTGAGTGTGTGTGAGTGTGGGTGAGTGTAGGTGAGTGTGTGTGAGTGTAGGTGAGTGTGTGTGAGTGTGGGTGAGTGTGTGTGAGTGTGTGTGAGTGTAGGTGAGTGTGGGTGAGTGTAGGTGAGTGTGTGTGAGTGTGGGTGAGTGTGTGAGTGTAGGTGAGTGTGTGAGTGTAGGTGAGTGTGGGTGAGTGTGTGTGAGTGTAGGTGAGTGTGTGAGTGTAGGTGAGTGTGTGTGAGTGTAGGTGAGTGTGTGTGTGTAGGTGAGTGTGTGTGAGTGTAGGTGAGTGTGTGTGAGTGTGGGTGAGTGTGTGTAGGTGAGTGAGTGTGTGAGTGTGTGTGAGTGTAGGCGAGAGTGTGAGTGTAGGTGAGTGTGTGTGAGTGTAGGTGAGTGTGTGTGAGTGTAGGTGAGTGTGTGAGTGTGTGTGAGTGTAGGTGAGTGTGTGTGAGTGTAGGTGAGTGTGTGTGAGTGTAGGTGAGTGTGTGAGTGTAGGTGAGTGTGTGAGTGTAGGTGAGTGTGTGAGTGTAGGTGAGTGTGTGTGAGTGTAGGTGAGTGTGTGTGAGTGTAGGTGAGTGTGTGAGTGTAGGTGAGTGTGTGTGAGTGTAGGTGAGTGTGTGTGAGTGTAGGTGAGTGTGTGTGAGTGTAGGTGAGTGTGTGAGTGTGTGTGAGTGTAGGTGAGTGTGTGTGAGTGTAGGTGAGTGTGTGTGAGTGTAGGTGAGTGTGTGAGTGTAGGTGAGTGTGTGAGTGTGGGTGAGTGTGTGTGAGTGTAGGTGAGTGTGTGAGTGTAGGTGAGTGTGTGTGAGTGTAGGTGAGTGTGTGTGTGTAGGTGAGTGTGTGTGAGTGTAGGTGAGTGTGTGTGAGTGTGGGTGAGTGTGTGTGAGTGTAGGTGAGTGTGTGAGTGTGTGTGAGTGTAGGTGAGTGTGTGAGTGTAGGTGAGTGTGTGAGTGTAGGTGAGTGTGTGTGAGTGTAGGTGAGTGTGTGTGAGTGTAGGTTAGTGTGTGAGTGTGTGTGAGTGTAGGTGAGTGTGTGAGTGTAGGTGAGTGTGTGTGAGTGTAGGTGAGTGTGTGTGAGTGTAGGTGAGTGTGTGTGAGTGTAGGTGAGTGTGTGTGAGTGTAGGTGAGTGTGTGTGAATGTAGGTGAGTGTGTGAGTGTAGGTGAGTGTGTGAGTGTGAGTGTAGGTGAGTGTGTGTGAGTGTAGGTGAGTGTGGGTGAGTGTGTGTGAGTGTAGGTGAGTGTGTGAGTGTGTGTGTGACGAGGCGGTGTCTGACTGACCGATCCCTCAGCACGGCTGAAGGCATCAGCGCCCTTCCATTCCTCGATGCCAATGTGGAGGTTGCTCGCCACGCCGTGGAGTTAGGAGCCTGAGTGGTTTTCCTGTTCCTCGCCCTCCGTTGAAGGCGCGCAGACAAACGGTGGCTAAACTATGCCTCGGATGAGCACGGCTGGCTACGTACGGCGCGCAAGAAGTTCAACGTGCCAACGACTCCTCCACTGAGCTATGGAGAGGCGCTGTGCGACTGTGATGCCCTGCGGTGAGTCAAGTTCGCGCGCTCTCAGCCTCTCGTCACATCCACCCTCACCTGGCACCGGGCTGAGCACGCCGCCCTTTCTCCGCGGTGGTCCCCACTCCTCGTTACTGTGGCCGGGACGCCTCGCCGTGTAATAGTCCCCGAGAGAGAGAGTTTATAAATACTGCACTGTACCCTGCAGCGTCGCATCAGCAGCTGCAGCACAACACGGGCAGGGAACCCCGCCCCTCACCACGCCCCTCACCACTAACCCCTTAGCCACTCACCACTAACCCCGCCCCTCCCCACGCCCCTCACCACGCCCCTAACCACTCACCCCGCCCCTCACCACTAACCCCGCCCCTCACCACTATCCCCGCCCCTCACCACTATCCCCGCCCCTCACCACTATCCCCGCCCCTCACCACTATCCCCGCCCCTCACCACTAACCCCGCCCCTCACCACTAACCCCGCCCCTCACCACTAACCCGGCCCCTCACCACTAACCCCGCCCCTCACCACTAACTCCGCCCCTCACCACTAACCCCGCCCCTCACCACTAACCCGGCCCCTCACCACTAACCCCGCCCCTCACCACTCACCCCGCCCCTCAACACTAACCCCGCCCCTCACCACTAACCCCGCCCCTCATAACTAACCCCGCCCCTCACCACTAACCCCGCCCCTCACCACTAACCCCGCCCCTCAACACTAACCCCGCCCCTCACCACTAACCCCGCCCCTCACCACTATCCCCGCCCCTCACCACTAACCCCGCCCCTCATAACTAACCCCGCCCCTCACCACTAACCCCGCTCCTCACCACTAACCCCGCCCCTCATAACTAACCCCGCCCCTCACCACTAACCTCGCCCTTCACCACTAACCCCGCCCCTCATAACTAACCCCGCTCCTCACCACTCACCCCGCCCCTCACCACTCACCCCGCCCCTCACCACTCACCCCGCCCCTCACCACTCACCCCATCCCTCACCACACGCTGGTGAGGATCAGGCTGGCTCGTGTGGTTAAGGTTCCGTAAGTACCATGACGACCATGATGACAATGATGACCATGATGACCATGATGACAATGATGACCATGACGACAATGATGACAATGATGACAATGACGACAATGATGACCATGATGACCATGATGACCATGATGAACATCATGACCATGATGACAATGACGACCATGATGACAATGACGACAATGATGACCATGACGGCCATGATGACAATGATGACCATGATGACAATGATGACCATGATGACAATGATGACCATGACGACCATGACGACAATGATGACCATGATGACAATGATGACCATGACGGCCATGATGACAATGACGACAATGATGACCATGATGACCACGATGACCATGATGACAGTGATGACCATGATGACAATGATGACCATGATGACCACGATGACCATGATGACAATGATGACAATGATGACCATGATGACAATGATGACAATGATGACCATGACGACAATGACGACAATGACGACCATGATGACCATGATGACAATGATGACCATGATGACCACGATGACCATGATGACAATGATGACCATGATGACAATGATGACCATGATGACCACGATGACCATGATGACAATGATGACCATGATGACAATGATGACCATGACGACAATGATGACCATGATGACCATGATGACAATGATGACCATGACGACAATGATGACAATGATGACAATGATGACAATGATGACCATGATGACCATGATGACAATGATGACAATAATGACCATGATGACAATGATAACCATGATGACAATGACGACAATGATGACCATGATGACAATGATGACCATGATGACCATGATGACCATGACGACCATGATGACCATGATGACCATGACGACCATGATGACAATGATGAGAATGATGTCAATGATGACAATGACGACAATGATGACCATGATGACAATGATGACCATGATGACAATGATGACCATGATGACCATGATGACAATGATGACCATGATGACCATGATGACCATGATGACCATGACGACAATGACGACAATGATGACAATGATGACAATGACGACAATGATGACCCCATGATGACCATGATGACCATGATGACAATGATGAGCATGATGACAATGATGACCATGATGACAATGACGACAATGATGACCTTGATGACAATGATGACCATGATGACCATGATGACAATGACGACAAAGATGACCATGATGACAATGATGACCATGATGACAATGATGACAATGATGACCATGATGACCATGATGACAATGACGACAATGATGACCATGATGACAATGATGACAATGATGACCATGATGACCATGGCGACAATGATGACCATGATGACCATGATGACCATGACGACAATGATGACCATGACGACAATGACGACAATGATGACAATGATGACCATGATGACAATGATGACAATGATGACCATGATGACAATGATGACAATGATGGCATTATTGACAATGATGACCATGATGACCATGATGACCATGACGACAATGATGACCATGATGACCATGACGACCATGATGACAATGATGACCATGATGACAATGATGACAATGATGACCATGATGACAATGATGACAATGATGACAATGACGACAATGATGACAATGACGACAATAATGACCATGACGACCATAATGACCATGACGACCATGATGACCATGACGACAATGACGACAATGATGACCATGATGACCATGATGACAATGACGACCATGACGACAATAATGACCATGATGACCATGATGACAATGATGACCATGACGACCATGATGACCATGATGACAATGATGACAATGACGACAATTCTGACCATGATGACCGTGATGACCATGATGACAATGACGACAATGATGACAATGATGACCATGATGACCATGACGACAATGATGACCATGATGACCATGACGACAATGATGACAATGATGACAATCATGACAATCATGACCATGATGACCAAGATTACAATGACGACAATGATGACCATGATCACCATGACGACAATGATGACCATGGCGACAATGATGACCATGATGACCATGACCACAATGATCACCAAGATGACAATGATGACCATGACGACAATGACGACCACGACGACAATGATGACAATGACGACCATGACGACAATGATGACCATGACGACAATGATGACAATGATGGCCATGATGTCCATGATGACAATGATGACCATGATGACAATGATGACCATGATGACCATGATGACAATGATGACCATGACGACAATGATGACCATGATGACCATGATGACAATGATGACCATGACGACAATGACGACAATGATGACCATAACGACAATGATGACAATGATGACAATGATGACAATGACGACAATGATGACCATGATGACCATGATGACCATGATGACAATGATGAGCATGATGGCAATGATGACAATGATGACAATGACGACAATGATGACCATGATGACAATGATGACCATGATGACCATGATGACAATGACGACAATGATGACCATGATGACAATGATGAATATGATGACAATGATGACAATGATGACCATGATGACCATGATGACAATGACGACAATGATGACCATGATGACCATGACGACAATGATGACAATCATGACAATCATGACCGTGATGACCAATATTACAATGACGACAATGATGACCATAATGACCATGATGACCATGACGACCATGATGACAATGATGACAATGATGTCAATGATGACAATGATGACAATCATGACCATGATGACCAAGATTACAATGACGACAATGATGACCATGATGACCATGATGACCATGATGACAATGATGACCATGACGACAATGACGACAATGATGACCATGACGACAATGATGACAATGATGACAATGATGACAATGACGACAATGATGACCATGATGACCATGATGACCATGATGACAATGATGACAATGATGACCATGATGACAATAATGACCATGACGACAATGATGACCATGATGACCATGATGACCATGATGACAATGATGACCATGATGACCATGATGACAATGACGACAATGATGACCATGATGACAATGATGACCATAATGACAATGATGACAATGATGACCATGATGACCATGATAACCATGATGACAATGATGACAATGATGACGATGATGACCATGATGACAATGATGACCATTATGACCATGACGACAATGATGACAATGATGACCATGATGACAATGATGACCATGATGACCATGATGACCATGATGACAATGATGACAATGATGACCATGACGACAATGATGACCATGATGACCATGATGACAATGATGACCATGACGACAATGATGACAATGATGACAATGATGACAATGATGACCATGATGACCATGATGACAATGATGACAATGATGACCATGACGACAATGGTGACAATGATTACCATGATGACAATGATGACCATGATGACAATGACGACAATGATGACCATGATGACAATGATGACCATGATGACCATGATGACCATGAAGACAATGATGACAATGATGACAATCATGACAATCATGACAATGACGACAATGATGACCATGATGACAATGACGACAATGATGACCATGAAGACAATGACGAATATGATGACCATGATGATCATGACGACCATGATGACAATGATGAGAATGATGTCAATGATGACAATGACGACAATGATGACCATGATGACAATGATGACCATGATGACAATGATGACCATGATGACCATGATGACCATGATGACAATGATGACCATGACGACAATGACGACAATGATGACCATGACGACAATGATGACAATGATGACAATGACGACAATGATGACCATGATGACCATGATGACCATGATGACAATGATGAGCATGATGACAATGATGACCATGATGACAATGACGACAATGATGACCTTGATGACAATGATGACCATGATGACAATGACGACAATGATGACCATGATGACAATGATGACCATGATGACAATGATGACCATGATGACCATGATGACAATGACGACAATGATGACCATGATGACAATGATGACCATGATGACCATGACGACAATGATGACCATGATGACTATGATGACAATGATGACCATGATGACCATGATGACAATGACGACAATGTTGACCATGATGACAATGATGACCATGATGACAATGACGACAATGATGACCATGATGACAATGATGACGATGATGACCA